TTAAAAAAAATAAATAAAACTTGTCTTTACCCTCAAAGTAAGCTTTTTTGTCATTTTAAATAGTACAGTAAAACCCGTTAAGATGTTCTCACTTAAGATGTTACAATGTGTATGATGACATGATTTAGTTCAACTACTTTGATGCTTAATAACTAGTGATGTAACGAATATTCGGTTACTATTTGGTATTTGGCCTATTTTTTTTGCTATTCGGCCGAATACTGAATACCTAAAAACAGGAGTAAGAAATAACAAAAACACAGTAAATTAATCATTTTGGTATTTAGATTTAATGTTATCGGGTTAGTGTTGTTTGTTTATATTTATTTATAACTTATAACATGCACAAAATAAAAAACAAAATAATATTAGTCACACGTATTCACAATTTATAATTACAAAGATCAGCACATGTATACACCTATTCATTCGAAAATCGTTGCACATCTGACAGTGAGAGTCTGACCCTGCCTATCCTTCTTTTTAAGCACTCATCTTTGCTCTTTCCTTTCTCTTTCCTCTATCACTCTAGTCCACATATGCCTATGCATACATCATAATACGCACTCACGATACTTTCGATTTGTCACTTTTCCGTCTAAGATTTCCCATTTTACAATTACGTGACTCATAGCCTGGTGATAACGGAGAAAAGAGACAGACACGACGTTGGTATAAGTCACAGTTATGATTTCACACATTCGAGACAGCTTGGTAGCTCAAACGGCCCCAGGCTTTCGCCCATGCATTCTAAGTGACTTTCATTACAAGCATTTAGCTTTCCGAAAGTCTATGACAACAATTGTTTGGCATTGACGGCCACAAATTTTGCGCCAATAAGTTGCCTCGACTTGTTCGATTATGTTATCAACACAATTTCATATTTATTTTCACATTTTCACTTCATGGTCCTTCTCTCTTCTTTTTCAATTATTTACACGTGTAGGTCATTTCATTGTTATCCACATTTGATATCATCACTTATCACATACTACCATATCGTGTCTGTCCACTTCAACTGTCAAGAATTAATGTGATTGGCAAAGCATAGTGACAGCGGGCCAATAGAGAGCAGGGTCCTTGCCATAATGTGGTTTGCACGCCAATTTTCGTACGTGCATTAATCAACCCGAATAGTATGGCCGAATATTCGGTATTCGACCTGAGGCCAAATATACTATTTGTTGCAACACTATTAATAACTTCATACTAAACCATCTGACTCTGATTCTGACCACAGAAATTATTAGGATTCAAACAGAAAACAAACAGTGAACAAAATCGTGCCCCCCACACAGTCTAACATCCATACATATAGAAAAAACCTCGAATCTTTTGCATATCTCGAAATTTCAAGGTGTCCCGAGTCCAAAAATGTAAAAATTTGGCAGGGGTCATTTTTTGACCGAGCGCTACACTTTCCCTCTGTTATATATAACAGCCAGAAAAGTAAAAATTATCGAATACATATTTATATATTGACTGTGTCATTACTTAGAGGAGTCTTTTAGCTTTAGAATAAAAAGTTTCTGTGTTCTATCTTTATTAGAACTTTATTTATTGAATCTTCTATTCTGAGGTCATGTGATGACATCAGAATTTCCGGGTCTATTTCGGTAACAAGTCCGCTCCTGGTCGGAGTCAGATGGTAAGGAAAAGTCGCAGTTGGTACATTTTTACGTGACTCCACAGCCCTGGAAAATACTAAAACTAAGTTTAGTGGTTTGTCTGATTTCAAAGCTAGCACTGATTGGCTAAAAATTTTAAAATCATACCATGGTTAAAGAGAACTTCACATTGAAGAAGAATCATTGTCTTGTGGTAGCACTGCAGCAACTGAATTCAAAAGTCTTTGCAGTGTATGGAAAATGAGATACTCTAGATCAGCAGTCCCCAACCTTTTTATCACCGTGGACTGGTCAATGTTTGATATTTTACCGTAGCCCACTGAGGGGGGACATTGTTTATATTTTAGATTGATTTAATTTAATACAGTGGGTGATCGGTTAACAAACAGATCGGACAACGAACACTTTCACGAAAGATTTTTATGTCCGGACAACGAACACATGATCGGATAACGAATATCCCACAGAACAAACAAGAAGAAGCGACGTAAAATAACGAATACCAACTGGACTTTCCTTGTCATTGGGCAACAATTCAAAACTTTTCGGAGTGTGGGAGACGTCGACATCAATGCTCAAGCCAGTATATACCGATTGGATAGTATTCCTCCGAACTTTAAAACTCTTCCTTATAATTCCAGCCTATTATTTTTATGACAAAATAATTCTTTTATGTATTCGCGAGACTGTCAGGTAGGCACTCGTTAAGTTTTGCGTCTGTTTTTTTTTTTGTAAGGTGAGAGTATAATAGCAAAGGTAAAGAGTTGGCAGAAGATACCTAATGTAGCTGGGTACTATAGCGTGAACAGGTCTATAGTAGGCCGCAGTTTATTTTTTTAAAAAAAATACTATATAATCAAGAAGACTCAAGCAGCTAAAAGAGTAACAAAAATCACATATGAGAAATAAAGAACATCGAAGAGTTCGTAATGGAACCTAAAACGGATCTGACAACAGAAGAATGCCAAGAACTCTTGAATGAAGAACACCAAGAAACTCGGCGAGATATGTTTTCTTCTGAAAATGCAGACTTATGCCGATATCTGCTATTAAAGATCTTGTAAAGAAGATGTCAGAACAACGGTCTTAAAATGGCATCCAAACCAGGTTGAGGCTTGGGGATTTCTACAATCGCAATGCTATTAATTACTTACGAAAAATCCTGAAGAAGAGAGANGTAGTGATGATGACTTGCAATCATTCAAAAATTCTAATAAAAAATTTTTAACTATAGTCAAAAAATTAATGCCATACACTTGATTTCCAATAATACTCTCAGTCTCAGGAAAAACTGTTAAATTTGGATGAATATTAAATTGATCTTTGATAGGTGAATTCAAACCACCATTCCTATAAAATGGATTACAATTACTTTCTATTGATTTATTGGAGTGTAAAAAGTTTCTTTCACTGATTGAATCATTTTCACTTGTCAGAGTAGCTTCTAAAAAGGCTTCTAACTTCAACAATATTGCAATCTTTCTTTTTGTCATTGCTTTAGATATATTTTTCATTGAAATTTCAATAATATTTTCTAATACTTTACTACAAGTTCGTGTTGTTAAAGATGGAAAATATTTCAGTAGTAAATCAAGAAAATTTAGAGAATCATCTTGAATACTACTAATAATGTGTGTAGCCGTACAATTTAAATATGATTTTAAAGTGCTAAAAAAAGGAGCAATACGATCAGGAGTACAATGTTTAAATATTACTTCTAATGTTTTTAATGTCAATTTTCTCATAACATCATCTTTATCAACAATTGTTTCAGTTATTTTTTCAACTAGGACAGAAAGTGAAGCAATTATAATTTCAGGGTAATCAGAAAGCAATTCTTTTAATCCTGTAAAAGCTTCAATTCGAACAGAAGAATTGTGATGTCTTAGACGAATCAATAATTCCTGGAAAAATTAAAAATTCACCATTAATTTGTAGTAATAACTTTCTGAATTTATAATTTATAAAATTTATTTTTATCTTTATTAATTAAGAATGTAAATACATAGTGAATATTGTACAGAAGTGAATAAAAACTATTTTGATCACATGAACTGGGGTTGCCACAGACCCCTTACAAGATAAAAGCTCCTAAATTTTTGGTAAATCCTCCTTTTAATTGTTAATTGCACTTAAAATTTGACATGCAATTAAATGTGGATTATCAATAAAGAAATAACAAGTAACAAATACTCTCTGCTATGATTCCAGTTTTCCCTTTTCTGAACATATCTATATTTTTAAAACTGAAACACGATGAAACAAGGTGTGTAACAGTGGACATTTTTACATTACTTGCATGCTATGCAAGGCAGCAAAGTAACTTTAAACTGTCTCGTAATGAGGCTGCAGTGACCCATCTATATGACCAAAATTGCATGATCTCTCTACCACCCATTTCATTTTATTGGTTTTTTTTGTAATATCTGTATATTAATTTCTTAAAATAATACACAGTCAAATTTTATTTATTCAAATTGTGGATAAATCAAACTATTATTCCTCCTGAAATTTGCATTTAAATTAGTGTTAACAAAAGTTAATTCAAAATTTTTAAGTTAAATTTAGATAATTCAAAATTTTGAATTTAAATAACATAACTTCCAGTTTGCACCAGAAGTTCATATACAGTGGGTGATTGGTTAAAGAACATAATCCATTCCAAGACTGTTCACTATCTGAATTGTTTGTTAACCGATTATCAGTTGACCATAGATTTTTATGGGAATTTGATTAATCCATTCTGGAGTCCCCCAAAAATAAAAAATTATATACTTTCTTACTACATTTATTTATATTCCTTGGGG